ATATATAAATGTGTAAGCAATGTACTGTATACCTGAAACTAACGAAAGAAATAAAAATAAAAACAAGATTCAACTTCAGGATGAACTGTTCACATGCAATTGATAATTGCATGTTGAAATCATACAAGTTAAATTATTGCTCCTTAAAGGTAAGACATATTATCACTGCTATGGAACCAACCAGCTAGCTTTCCAGAAGCCATAAGTTCCTTCAACTTGTGTTTTGAGCGTCATGAGGTTAGACAGAACCGTTGGTCAATCTACTGGTATACTGATATACACTGGAATGAAAACGCACACAAGGGCAGGGATTTTTACGTCTTGTTCCCTGATATATCCCAAGTACTTAGAACAGGGCCTGTAACACAGTAGGTACTTGATAAACATATGCTCGGTAAACGCACCCTGTCATCACTTACACAGCTCAATACATCACCCAATTTTTATAACATTCTTCACGAAGTAGCAGCATTATCACTTAAGTAGCTCAAAGTAGTAAGGGGAAATCAAATTTTTTTTGGCAGATTCTATAGGGAATCAATAATAGAAGCCAAATTGAAATTACAGAATTCCTATCATCTTTTTACACGGCGATGCCAGCTCCTTTAACAATCCGATTAAACAGACTATTCTGGAAAATAACTGGGTGGGAGCCAGATCCAATGGAGCCAGTAAGTTTTCTCTATCAATTTATTAAAATGTAATTTACTAAAAACGCAATTATATCATTTGAGTCATGCCAAGAAAAACCTGATTCAGATTTATTTCTCTATCCAAAGATAAATTTAAACTCAGAATAATTAACGATAAATCATTTACCTCCAGGTACGACACTTTCAGAGTAAATTCGAAGTCACTCTTCTTATCGATTTCTTTGAAGAGCAGTTGTATCACCCTAGGAATGACTCCAACTGTTGGTTCATTCTCTTGCTCTGCAGTGTATGCACCGCCCATTGAATAGGTTTTTCCAGAGCCTGTCTGTCCATAGGCCAGGACAGTCGCATTGTATCCTGGCAAAACAGAAGTCACATGCATAGTGATGCTCAAATATTTTCATCCTATTAATATGCTCCACTTCCTTCGGTGATCGCATGTAACAAAACTGAGACCGCTGTCTTAAGACACGGTCTCTCAGGAATAGCAAACACAGAGAAAAGTTACATGGGTGCCACGACGTTGCACTACTCCCGATAAGCAAAGAAGAAAAATACCAACCCCAGACTGTGCACCCCTTTCGATAGCCATTAAAAGCTAGGCAGTAAAACAAAGACAGGACTGAGATGACCAAGGTGGCCAAATCACGGTCAAAAAGCCACTCAGAGCTTTCTAAGTCTGCTCTCTCTCTACTGTAAGCAATTCTAAATTATGGGAATTAAATAAAAGTCTTAGAAGCTGCATAAACAGGAGGGATTCCAACACGTATTTCTTTGATTGAGAGTTTTCATCTGAAGAGGTAACCAAATTGCTTTGCACAGCCAACGAAAGCATCTACTCTCCATCTGAACTCTCAGACGACATCTGGGCCATATTGTCAGGCTCCTCACAGAAATGGCATCGTTTAGGTATGATTCGATGGGATCTATGTCTTTGCTTCGTTTTCTTTTTGAAAGAACTTGTCTAAATGAAGACCCTGATGTCCTGAAAGGTCTTAGGATGGTAAGTTGAGATTTTCATTAATAGATGGCTACGGTGTCGCCTGGCATAGCTGTGGGGCAGGAGAATGACATTCCATAACTTCCGGCAACACCACAGATATGTGTATATAGTAACAACTGGAGAAACCGAGTTTCAGTACATTTCACAAAATACACAGGGCTCTGTGGCATTGGGGGTTCAGAGTACAAGGGGTGCTGTCGAGTTTGTTGAAAAAGACTGGCTTCGCCTTTGCAGAGCGACGTTAACCAAACACACATATACTGGAATCATTTTCTACATCATACTGTTTCGAAACACTATAATTTAATTCTCAACGTTTCCCAGTTAAAAATACGAAAGTGGAACTATGATGCTCTTAGTAAGCTTTGAAGGCACAGTCTGAGGAAGGCGACCGGATAATGAAGGCTCTGGAGACCATGTCGTTTCAGGAATGGCCGAAGGAAGGGAGGGATGATTAATTAGGAGAGACTTAGAAAAATATCATGTTCTTCCAAGTATGTAAACAGGAAAAAGATTAACTTTATAGTGCAGAAGACTGGCCGATGCCACCTTATTCAAATGATCAAAATGAACGTCAGCAGTAATGGAACAAACCAAAAACATGGCTCGCCCGACGGGAGTCAGCTAAAGATATACAACCTGAAGCTAACCATATATAAACATCAGACAAATCAAAATTGAGAACGTTTACAAAATAACTGTCCTGTGATCTTCAAAAATGTCACGAATATGAAAGTCAAAAAAAGCCTGAAGAAGTGTTAAAGAGACTACAGGGCCATTACGACTAAATACAACGTGAGATTTTGAACTAGACCCTTTCTATAAAGGACATAACTGAAGCAATTGGTGAAACTTGAATGAAGTCTGAGGACTGGATGGTAGTTATGTAGCAGTGCTAGGTTCATGATTTTGATGGCTGTATTGCAGTTGTGTAGGAGAAAGTCCTTGTCCGTAGCAAATGTACACTGTTCAGGGGGCACACAGTCAACAACTCATCTCGAATGGTTTAGGAAAAAAAGTTCTTTATGCTATTCTTGCAGATTTTTATAAATTTGAGATGACTGCTTTAACATTTGTAAAATTTGAAACCAAGTATTCAATGTGCCCAGTCATAAAAAAAGTGAAAAAAATGTAAATAGCTGGAAGAAAGCTTCTGTTTGTCTGGAGGGGTGAACTGACATCACTGGGTAGAAATTACCGGGAAGCAAAGTTCATCTCAACATAATCTAATGCAATCAGAGTCGTGCAAAAACCAATCAACAGGACTACCCTGAGTTAGTGAGTTCCCTGTCAAAAAAAATTAAATAGATACTGGAAGTTCAGTTTACAGAGATATTGCTAGAAAGCATTTTTCTTTGGAAAGAAAGCTAGACTGGGTGATGTACAAACGTCCCTTTTGACTTTAAGGGGCTGATATGCCACGGTTCTACTTTTATTATTTTTATTTTTGGTTTCTACTTTTAAATAGTCCTCTGCTTTGAATCCTGAATAACCACTGTACTAGAATATAATTAAAGACCCACCCCCCAGGCACTGTTCCCTTAAGAACTGTCACGAGGTCTTCAATAACATTGAAGCCTTAGCTTCTGCTGTAAAGATTATCAACTAGAATATTCAGGGGCTTTAGAAATTTTCCTTCTTTACCTAAAAAGATTCTACTCATCCTTCAAGATCTACCTCAAAGGTCCCCTACGCTGTGAAATTCACCCCAAGTTCTTTGGAGTTAGTGCCATCCTTCTGGTTTTCGCACCCGTTTGTATGAAAGCACCGCTACCTGCACAGCAGGACCGCTCCTATTGTATATTTTTAACTTCTAAAATATTTTTTCTTAAAGATGGGTGCAAAAAGGTAAAAACGTTTTATGCACCCAAAATTATAAATGTAGCCATGTACTTCTATTCCCACCCCTGGACTCTGAGCTACATTATTTATCTCCGAATCTCTCCGCGGGGTTCTGTAGGGCTTGGGCCTTGAGTCGGTTGGCACACTGATCATCACCAGGACCCATCGAAGGGCTTAGGATCTAATGAGGTTCCAGGACAAACAAAAGTATATACAAGCCAAAGATGAGCAGAACCACAGAAAGCAAATACCAGCGCCAAACTCGTTTGAGGGCGCCGAGACTTTTCACGCGTGATATCGCGTTAGTTCCTAGGCTGTGGGCTTTTGGAAGGCAAGACTCGTGTTTCACCCATTCCTGTCTTTGCAACATGCGAACGCGGTGCCTGTCACACCGTATGCTCGAGAAGCATCTGAAGAATGAAACGGCCTCACCTTTAAATATGCCTTTAATGAGCGGGGCGACCGCTGTATTGAAGACCTCTTCCTGTTCAGTAGAGGGGTCAAACACAAAATCGTACGTGAAGGATTTGTCGGTACCGACCACCACCTAGAGAAGGCGAGGGACAAGGAGTCAGGAAATCACGCAAGGCCAGGCCACGCCCCTCAGCCTGTCATTCGGCCCCAGGTGTCCCACGACTGCTACGCACCTGCGGCTCCCCGGGTACGAACGAAAGGCACATCTGGCAGCCCTCGCTAATCTCTTTGGGGACCAGAGGGCGACATCGCAGAGCCACTCTTACAGGAATTCCCTTCACCTCTTCCTTCATGGTCCTGCCTCGGCACCGTCTGTGACGGGGAAGAGAAGAGAGCGTCCTGATGACGAGTCTTGGCGGGCTGGCAGGGGTGGCAGGGCGCCCGCCCGCGGTACCGGCCCTCGCAGCGGGATCTCTGCCACGCGAGAGTCACTGTTTATCAGACGTGGCCACCGCGGCACTGCCCGCAGCCCCGACACTCTGAAGGGGACGGAGTGACGTCTGAAACGGAAAGGAAAACCCCCGGCGGAGACGACGAAGCGCCACAGAGCAGCGGGAAAGGCAGATCCGCAGCTAAGGTGTGCCCGCTTCACTCACCGAGCCGAACGCACCTTCCCGGCGCTCCCGCCGCCCCGTTCCAACGCGAGCTGTAACCGCCAAGTTTCAAATCGGTC